TCGAGGTCTCATCAAAAATACCTGGTTTGGTTGTTGTAAACATGGCTGGAAATGTCCAACACCTTGTTAAAAAACACCTGGTTTTGTCGCAAAAAAACATGGCCCGAAATCTCACAAAGTCTTGTTAAAAAATATTCAGTTTGGTCTTAAAACCTTTTTAAAAATACCTGGTTTGGTTGCTGCAAACATAGCTGGAAATATCCTGACATCTCATTAGTTAGTTGCAACAAACATAGTCTGAGTGGGTGGAAGTTCGCTGCATAGATCAGCCTCTCATTGGGCGGAATGAGCCGCTGAAGTCCCGTCCTACCACCTCTGGTTGTGTAGCAGTTTTCAACTGTTTTCAACACGTCCTTTACTAACTTTTGTGGTGTTTGATCTTGCGGGGATGTAGCCATTTTTCTGACATGGTTCGCGTCCTGTAGGTGATATTTTTGTGGGCGTGTTACACCAAAACCTGTTTCCCCCCGGCAATATTTTTGCAAGCGCACCGTTGCTGTGGCACCGCCCAGAACGATTGTGATTGGTTGAAAGAAATACAAGCAGCCAGGGCATTTTTTTCTCCAATCTTAAAGTGAGAGTCGGCCCAGCCAGACCTTTCTTTTCTTGAGAAAGGTCTGGTGAGCGAGACTACAACAAACACAGCCCAAAATGCCATGAAGTCTTGTTAAAAAATACCTGGTTTGGTCAGTTCCCGATGTCTCATAATAACATCCGGTTTGGTCGCCGCAATCACGGTTGAAAATGTCCTGATGTCTCGTTAATTAAAAGTACTTGGTGTTGTTGTTTGTTGGTCTTGAGCAGTGGTCTGCTGTTTGAGAGGTCCTCATATACATGTAATTTGAACAATGTCACTTTAGAAATGTTAATATGATATGTATCACACAGATAAATAAAACATATTTGTGGTTTGCAAAAGTGTACAATGCCAACATTTTATTCTGGTGACAAAGCTGGCTGCATACACATGAATGCATCCGTAACAGTAATCTAATATAACATAATACAGGCTATCATTATGCTGAGTACTTTTACTCAAAAAACATCATGAGTTCAGTTTGAGTATTTTTACATTGTGGGATGGAAATCTTCACATTAAAACATTGTATGTAACTCTGGAGAAACATAGTTGATTGTTGAGTGTCATTCCCAGGTCATCAAATACCAACACTTTGGGTTGTGGTTTCAGTCTGACTAATAACCCAAAGTGTTGGTATCTGACGACCTGGGAATGACACTCAACAATCAACTATGTTTCTCCAGAGTTACAGACAAGTAAAGGATTTGAATGCTGAATACTTCCTCCACCACTGCCTTATAAGGACAAACTGTTTCCTGCCTTTTCAAAGAATTGTTACTGTTTGAATGAACAAATCACTTGAATAAGCAAATATACATTTTATTGACGTTTTAAATTAGCAACTGTTCCGAAACTTCTTGAAAATGGCAAAATACATGATATACCCGTAAAAGGACATATTGCATCATTCCTTAATATCCTGCCCCGATCATTGCCCAGTTTGATAATGCTGGTGCACATAGCCAAGTGTGCCAGAGACAATTACTGGAGATTCAACATGTTAGCAGATTATTAACATGTTCCTCTTAGCAGTGATCTTAAAATATAGTGGGTTGAACTTTGAACTTTACAAGAAAAGAGTTCATCCACCCCTCTTATCATGTAAGCTGGTTATCAGCCACTGCGTTGTTTACAGTATTGAGTGTGACAGTCTGAACATATAATTTGACTTTTTGTATGAAGAAAGACCAGATGCATGACGATGTATTTGCACAGAGAACAAAGTCTGAGTGTGAGAAAGAACTACTCAGCAGGGATGTCAGTGGTTGTCTCATTGCTACATTGAGACTCTTCTTTCAAAATATGCTCCACTACACTGCCGTCATCCTCCTGAAACTGTACCTTCACTGTTAGTGGAGAGCATTTATCCACTTTGCAATTGACAATCACAGTGTCACCAGAAGACTGCAGGCTACAGCCACTGAGATCAGGCATGTTAAATGTAGACCCCTCACACACCAGCTGGTCCTTCTCAATGGAGATAACTGCCCGTCTTTTCAAAAAGCTGGGGCTCCTGCAGAGCATCCTGTCGAGCATCTGTATGTCTCGGCTGTTTCTCTGCACCCAGTCGTGCAAATACCACATGTGGCAGTCACATTTCCAGGGGTTCCCGTGCAGCCTCACTGTGTGCTGGATGGCAAAATGGTCGAAAACGCCCAGTGGGAGACTTTCCAGCTGGTTGTCAGACAGGTAGAGCTGCTGAATGAGCACCTGGTCCTCGAACAGCTTGGCATCCACCTTGCTCAGGTTGTTCTTGTGTAGGTGGATCGACTTGATGCCAATTAGTTCATGAAAGATCATCTCGGGCAGCAGGGTGAACTTGTTTTCAGACAGGTCCAGATTCTCCAGGAGTGTTACATTTCTAAAAACGTCCCCAGGAAGTTCAGAGAGCTGGTTAGAGGACAAGATTAGGTCAGTAAGAGACGTCAAACTGCTTAAAGAGGACAGCTGAGTCAATCTGTTGCCTTTTAGATTCAGCTCTGTCAAATCCGAGGCCTCAAATCCAAACACTTTGTCACTGAAGGTTGTAAGAAGGTTTCCACGGAGGTTCAGCACTTTTAGTTTGGTTAAGTCAAAGAAGATATCATCAGCGAGCTCTGATATCTTATTCCCCTCTAAGTGAAGCTCTGTCAGCTGAGACATATTGTAAAACAAGTCCGAAGTAAGATTGCTGATAAGGTTGCTGTTGATGTTCAGGATCTCCAGTCTTGCCAGCCCAGAAAAAGTTTCCCTGTTTACATATTCAAGCTTATTTATGGACAAATCCAGGACACGCAGGTTGTGGAGGTTCAGGAAAATAAATGAAGGCAGCTCAGATATGAGGTTTCCCTTCATCTGCAGAGTTTCAAGCTTTTTAAGAGAGTCAAACATGCCAAGAAGCACTGTCTTGAACTTGTTGAAGTTAAGCAGCAGTTTGATCAAATTTTCCTGCTTTGAAAAAGTCCCCAGAAATAAATGCTCCAGCCAGGGGTTCCCACTGATCTCCAGCTCCTGCAGCTCGGTCAGATGCTCAAAAGCCTGAGAGTGAATACTTCGCAGTGCATTGCTCATGAAGACAAGCTTAGTGAGTTGGGGGCTCTCCTCTAAAGTGTCGGGGTACAGGTATGCCACGGCTGTTTTTATTACAATAAGGTCCTTGACCTGCCTGGACATGTTCCTGGGTAAAGATGACATCCGTTCGTCAGCACACAGTATCTGGACTGAAGTGAAACACTGGCAAGTATATGGACATGAGGTGTGTGGCAGTGTGATGCCTTTGTGACAGAGAAGCAGCACCAGGAACAGACACAGGCCCAATTCTTTGTCCATTTTTCACTGTCAAAACATGAAGAGAGCTTCTATGAATTAACAGGAAATGCTGCTTTGATAAGAGAACAGGAATTCAGTCATGTTTGTCTTTGTTCCTCGAGAGAAGAGTATTTTCTGTTTAAATAAATGAAATACAACATACCTCTGCGTTACAGGGATCCAGCAGCATTGAGACAAATTTCCTCGTGGATCTACAAGCCAACTGACACAGAGCGCAAATGACAACAACTCTGAATTAGGCAAGACAGAACCTTTGGTCAGCGGCCGGCTCCTGCCATGGTTTCATTTGCTCACGACAAAAAAAGTGGACAGTCCTTTAATTCAGAATATTTGCTCACAGTTTGCAAAATAGTTGATTTTTTTTATATGTTGCTATATTATACAACATGTAGAAAAAAGCAGAGGGTTTCTCTTTAAATCTTTTTTCTATGTTAGTTTCAGCAGAAATCTGTCAGAGATGAGTCACTGTTTACCAAAACAAGACAAATAGAGCCCAGAGAACACATGCTTTCATCACTCTTTCCGGTTATTCGTTTTTTTTCTTACATCGTCAGAAATAACAAATACTACTACTACAAATACTAATAATCCTATTTACTTTGTTTTTAACCTGGAAGTCTTTTGAAAAACATTAGTCTTTCACTAGAGAGACCTGAGCAAAAGGGCAAAACAGCAGTGCAGAATATTTAACACTGAGTCATATAATGAAATAACATCACCCAGAACAACAAACTTTACTTTATTAGTCATACAAAGATAAACAAAGTGTCTGAGGTAGAGTGACATGTAATAAATGAGAGAACGGATCAGCTCAGCAATTAAGGCACACGTTGCAATAAGGGTAAAATAATGTGAATAAAGATAGAATAAAAAATAAAATTAACATAATATGAATAAATATAGATTATGATAAAATAAGATAAAAAAGACTAAAATTAGATTAATAAAGAATAAAATAATTCTAAGATAAAATACAAAAAATAGACAAGATAAGATAAATAAAGATAAAATAAAGAACGATTAAAATCACATAAATACACCTAGAATAAAATTAAAAATTAAGATAAAATAATATAAATAAAGATATAATACAATAAAAATAAAGATAAATTAGGTTAAAAGACTAAAATTAGATAAATAAAGATATAACAAAATAATAAAGATAAAATCAGATGAAAATAGACAAAATAAGACAAATAAAGGTAAAATCAGATGAAAATTAAGATAAAAACAAAATACAATAGATAAAAATCATATAAATAAAGCTAGAATAAAATAAAGATAATTTAATATTAATATAGATAGAATAAAATAACAATAAAGATAAATTAAGATGAAAGAGCAGAATTAGATAAATACAGATAGAACAAAATAATAACAAAAAATAAAATAGGATAATAATAGACAAAATGGGGCGTCGGTGGCTTAGTGGGTAGAGTAGGCGCCCCATGTACAAGGCTGTTGCCGCAGCAGGCCAGGTTCGAATCCAGCCTGTGGCCCGTTGCTGCATGTCATCCCCCCTTTCTCGCTCTCTCTCTCTTTCTCTCCCCCTTTCACACTTACCTGTCCTGTCTATTAACGGCAAAATGCCCCCCCAAAAAAATTCTTAAAAAAAAAGACAAAATAAGACATAAAATAAAATAATCTAAAACAAGATAAGATTAAGTTTGTCTTACGAGTTATTCCAAGCCCAAAATGATCTTGTATTTTATATTGTAAAATGTATTTTTATTCTCATTAATATGACAATAATATATTTTGCTCTGAAAGAACAGCACACTTGATGTGAAAACAGTGTTTTTTGTTACTGTGTTTGAGTGTATCGACATTATGTATGGAGCTGTGCATTTTCCGTGGAGGTTTCATTGTCAAGCTGCAGGTTTAGGAGCAGTTTCAGTAGTTGTAGGAGACCATCACCTCCACCAGATGTCATCCTGTTCCTCCTAACCTCAGTCAAAGGTGATGGCATTCCTGGATCCTCCCTCCACCTCAGGGTATTCTCAGAGGATGCACAGGTAGACAACACTGTTTGGGATCAGATCCACCACCCCAAACCTCCAGGAACTACATCAAGAAACTTTTTTTCCATTTTCATCAATTTCCCATTTTTAGTTTTTGAAATCAAACAATGGCCAGCGCAGGTATTCAACTTCTTGGCTTCACCTTGGCCTTTTTGGGCTTCATCGGCTCGATAGCATCCACAGCCATGGTGGAATGGAAAGCTTCGTCCTACGCAGGAGACAACATCATCACAGCTCAGGCGCTGTACGAAGGGCTGTGGAAGAGCTGTGCATCACAGAGCACGGGGCAAATTCAGTGTAAACAGTATGATTCACTCCTCCAACTACCAGGTAATGTTGTTCCACACATCATGTTTTCATTATAGATTCCTTTACAAAGACTAGCAAGTGATCACATTATCTATGAAAGCATGTCAGACACAGCATAGTGAACAAATACCAAGTGCAGTGTAGTGCATCCTAAATCTATTTCTTGTCATGAGTGGGAAGAAAATGGGTCATGGGATAATAAATGGTGCATTTCCCCAACAGTGTTACATTACAACTTTATGAAATCAAATTTGTGAGTATGAGAAATCTCAATTTAAAAGCATAAGATTCATGGGCGTGCAAACTATAAAACAGGAATGTGTAATTCTCTCTGGTCATTCAAACCCTCTGAGCGGTGTAGGACTTCCTGCGTGTAGAGACATGTCAGCCAAATACCAGCAGCTCCCTGATTCAATTAGAAACTTCTTCTTCTTTGAAATCAATTCAAAGACCATAGATGTTATGGGTGGTTATGGATTTCAAATGAAAATGTATTTGTGTAAAAGGATTTGTAATTTCTATATTATGAAAGGCTGATACCAGCTCCATCAGATAGGCATGTTTAGAACACACCTCACCTGGATGTTATGCATGTCGTCAGCACTCCCACCTGTTTTTTTTTGCCTGTTGTCAACACTGAGATTCAATAAAAAGAGTTTTCAAATTCTCAAGTTTAATTGAAGCTTTTACTGTGGATACATTAGAAACAGAAGTATGTGGAATCATTGTTTGTGATCAGTACTTATTTTGCAATTAGAAAGCATAAAGGAGTAAAATCTTGGCGAGATTTTAACACAGGGCCATAAAGAAAGGGCCCTCAACTACTTACTTATAAGGTCAAAGGTCAAAGCAAAAATAAATAGATAAATAAAAACTTTAGAAAGCCGTGAGACTGAATGAAACCTGCCGAGTTCAAGGGATCCTGTGTCTTTTTCTCCAGGGATTGTCCTGGGCACACGAGGGCTGATGCTGTCTGCCATCATGCTGTGCTTAATTGCTATACTGGTGGCAACGGTGGGCATGAAGTGCACCACCTGTCTGGCAGAACAACCGCAGCAGAAGGACAAAGTGGCTCTAGCTGGAGGGGTTATCTTCATCATCGCTGGTCAGAGTCCATTCAGTTCACACACACACCCACACACACACACATGCAACACTGTTTGAACATCATCTGGCTTGTGGAGATATTTTTGCCACACACTACTGTATGTTTTGCTTCGACCACTGGATTGCAACAGGTTTATAACATGATTTGGCTTGTAATTAATTTGAAGGTTCATAAAATGATACACGTCCTGCATGTTTTAACCTGCGTAATACAATGATATAAAATGTTTTTCTGCCCATGTTTTTTCCCCAGCTCTGCTTGCTCTGGTGGGAACGTCTTGGTATGGCCACAGAATAGCAAAAGACTTCTACGACCCATTCACTCCAACTAATTCCAGGTGAGGTCATTCTTCTCTGCCCCTTTAGTCTGGAATTCACACTAACTATCAGTTACCAATGTGGCTGTGTGTCATGACACAGAGGAGGGGAACTTGCCAAACAAACTGTCTTTTATTATGCTGTCGTTCACCTGCCAGTCCAAGTTATGATTTAGTTTTACATGCATACATGTTTTACATAGTGATGGAAGAAGTACTCATCCAGTACCACTCTGTAAAAATACTCTGATACAAATAAAAGTCCTTCCCTCAAAAATTTACTTAAATAAAAATGCAAAGGTATTATTGGTTAAATGTACTTAAAGCACTTGCTGGGCACTACTAACTAACAATCAGGCCTACGAGGCTCAGGACAAAATTGTCAAGGGCCCCATGTCCTTTACCTGCAAATATCACTCAAATTAACAGGTGCGGAGGAGGAAAAGACTCAAAATGGCCACACAAAATGCAAAGACACTGCAGAGGGACACAAATAACTACAAAAAGTTGAAAAAAAAACAACCACAATATCACACAAAATGACCCCAAAGAGACACAAAATGACTACAAAGAGACAGAAAAATGACCCCCAACGAGACACAAAATGACTGCAAAGAGACACAAAATGACCCTAAAGAGACACAAAATGATTAGAAAAAGACATAAAATGACCCTAAACAGACACAAATTGACTACAAAGAGATACCAAATGACCCCAAAGAGACACAAAATGACCCCCAAAAAGACACGAAGTGACCACAAAGAGACACAAAACTACCAAAAAAAGACACAAAATAACTACAGACACAAAATGACTACAAAGAGACATAAATTGACCACAAAGAGACACAAAATGACCCCAAAGAGACATAAAATGACTACAAAGAGACACAAAATGACCCAGAAGAGACATAAATTGACCCTAAGGAGACACAAAATGACTTTGTAGAGACACAAAATGACTACAAAGAGATGCAAAATGACTTTAAAGAGACACAAAATGACTACAAAGTGACACAAAATGACTTTGAGGAGACACAAAATGACTACAAAGACAAAAAAATTACGTTGTAGAGACACAACATGACATCAAAGAGACAGAAAACTACCAAAAAGACACAAAATAACCTTAAAGAACCACAAAATGACTACAGAAAGATGCAAAACAACTACAAAGAGGAACAAATCAACCAAAAAAAGTCACAACAATTACCACAAAGAGACACACAATCACAAAGAGATGCATCATGACTACAAAGAGACACAAAACAATGATAGAAATCAGCAAAACCACCGCAAAGTCTTGCTCCTATGTAGGAGAGATGGTGGGGCCTTTTGTATATCTGTGCCCAGGGCCCCTTTGCTTATAATCTGCCCATGAAAATTAACTGTTTTATATACTTTTTGATATTTTACAACTCAGCAGCATATTTTATAAATTGATCATGTGTCCAGCACATAAGCGCATATAAAACCATATTCTACTCTTTTTGGACACGGTCAGGTTAGCTGCTTTTCCTTGTTTACAGTCTTTATGCTAAGCTAAGCTAACTGGCTGCTGGTGTTAGCTTTATAATAATTAATGTACAGACATGAGAGTGGTATCAGGCTTCTCATCTAACTCTCAGCAATTAAGGCAAGTAAACAGATTTCCCCAAATTTTGAACTATTCCTTTAATTTTCAAGCCTACTCTTTCATGTTCATTTAATTAGCTGCTGTGAATCAGACCTAACTGAAGAGAACATCAGCTTGTATTGAGACTCAAGGAGCAATGCTGGTGAATATCATCTTTTCCAAATGTCCACATTAGTATCAGTGTAATGTGTTTTATTCACAGGTATGAATTTGGAAGCGCCCTGTATGTTGGATGGGGGTCTGCATGTCTCATCCTTATAGGAGGAGGCTTCCTCTGCGCCAACTGCTCCGGCAAGAGCTCAAGCAAAGCTCCACGCTACCCGCCGTCCCGCTCTGCAGGCCAGCCGGGCAAGGACTACGTGTAGGACAATCACTCCACCTGGATGGAAGAGTGCTGTCTCTGCAGGGATGTGTCTTCAGTATGTCATTCAGATTTTTTTTTATTTTATTTTTGCAACATGTATATTTGCAGGTGTTACATTTGGTGTATGTTTGTATTTGGTGTTTTTCATTCTTTAATTATTAAGAAAGGGAACCTCAACAGATCAACAACAGGCATTACTATTAAAGATGATGACAACGTTTACCCATTTTTATTTGCTTTGTTTGGAGTCATTATTCTTTCATATTATGTAAAATAAAATCCTCATTACTTTCCTAGTACTGTGTGTTTTATAGTGTTCAGGTGTGGTTTTGTTTCATGTGTAACACAAGGCTGGTGTCATTCTATATTCTCTTGTTGTAAACAAATCCCATATAAGCCCAAAACCAGCTCGATACTGTCTGTGTCATTTAACCACCAGCCTACTCTTTCCTTCTCAGCTATATTTTAAAATGAGTCAAAGCAAATATACCAAACAGGAATAATAATGTTTAGAATAAGTTGTATAAATCTTTGCTAACAGAGGCAAGACTTGCTTGAATCAGTGATCATGGTTGGTTTTAGTATTGTTATGTGTGCGTCTTTTTGTTGACAACAAGAAAAATATAGAAAAGCGCCAGCCCTGTACTTTAGACAGACACACACAACGGTTGGACAAAAGAACATATACATGTAAAAAAGTACATGATGACGAGAGAAGTCATTACCTATGTGAGACCTGAGTTAAAGGGACAGTTCATCCCAAAATCAAAAGTACAGATTTTTCTTCTTACCCATAGAGGTATTTATGAAAATTGATTGTTTTGGTGTGAGATGCTGAGTGTTGGAGATATCGCCGTAGAGATGTCTGCCTTCTCTCCAATATAATGGAACTAGATGGCACTTAGCTTGTGGTGCTCAAAGTGCCAAAAAAGAAAGAAAAAGAATTCAGTGTCTCCAGAAATCATGACCTGATTATTCAAGATAATCCACAGACTTTGTTGTGAGCAGTTTCATGTAGGAACTATTTTCTTTCCACCAACTGTATCAGCGCACCGAAGGAAGCGTGCATCTACTCATAGACAAAAGGCTCATGCTTGAGATAGCGCAAGATGTAAACGTTTATGCCATCCTCCTCAGCTGAGCTGTAACATTAGTTAGCTCAGTGGTGTTAGGTGAGCTAGCAGTAGATGCACGCTTCCTTCTGCCAGGGGATATGACTGACGGGTGCGGTTCGGCCTCTATGGTCGATATCTCCGCTACTTGGCAACTTGGCAACTTGGCCCAAAACAATCTAGACTAATAACTAGCAGTAAAGTTAATTTGTATCTTTTATTCTGAGGTGAACTGTCCCTGTAAGATAGTCCTGTGTGTATGCAAATGTGTACAAGCATGTGCGTGTTTATAGATGTGTGGTGATAAAGTTCCCCATCCACCTCCGCTATTTCTCCCGAAGTGTTTCATTACAGCACATCCCCCAATGCAAGAGCCAAGACACAGTGTGACAGCATCTTCTTAGGAAGGGGAGGATCTGTACAATAGATAAAATCTATCTGGAACATTTCATTAGCACATTTGTAATATATGAAACACAAACACGCACACACACACACAACAATTACTACTCATATGAAAGAAGTTTGTAAAGTTTAACTTGAGGAGTGTTTTCATTGTCCAACATGTAGCAGTGACTGCAGCAGAAATGTGTTGCCTCTGGGAAGACAAAACTAACCCACACAGGGAGAAGGGAGGCTGGGGAGCGGCTCTCAACATACCTTAAACCACCAGCTCCTGTCCCAACATGCCTCTTCTCAGTGTAGTCATCAGAGCTCATGGAGACCAGATTCCAAACAATTTATGTTTAGCACATCAACATCAAGACGTCGTGTTATTCTCTGTATGGAAGAATGATTATCATGAGTCAGTATGCACTGGATAATATGAGGTGCCAGTGTGGATCCTCTGCCCATGTATTGATCTCTCTGACATATTACTGCTGCTTGCTGCTTGTTTCTGACTGTGAGTTTGTGTATGGTCTGGGTAGATTGTAAAACTGAATCGCTCCTCTGGATTGAATGAAGTTATCTGAGTCACAGATTCCCGCCCCCACCTCTGGCCCCATTTGACCAGCAGAACATGATTTTATCTACTGTTATATCAACAATGTGAGCACACTGTTGATTCCACTGTGCCACCTCCACCACATACTGTGCAGTAATTCTGCAGCAGAGGGCGCCACCGTCTGGCATGTCTGCTGCTCAAACACCAGGCTGCTGTGCACCATTTGGAGTGGGAAACATCCGTAAATCTGAGACAGTTTAACTACTGTGTAAATTGCTAAATGTGTGACAATAAATAAAGATTATGTTGAACTTCTTAAACCAAAAAGTAAAAACCACAAAGACAGTACACATGTGTATTACAAGAGGGAGATAGGCAAGGGGGGAGGAAGGTCCCCACCTGGACTCAAAGCACGGTTTGTCACAGTTACGTGCTGCATTCAATTTCAGTTTCAGTTTTAGTTTACTCACAAACAGCTAAAATATAAGCACAACCAAGGCATGATAGAGATACATATGTTAAATAGGGTTAGGGTTAGAGGCCCAGACCACCTAAGACTAATCAAAGACCCTAGCTACTAAATTGTCCTGAGACATGTAGTCAATCAGTCTAAACACTGGTAAAAAGGTAAGACACAATTAAACAGAAATGTGGACCTAGGCCTAGATTTTGGGGGGACACATTTAAATTCACCAGAATGTAGAAAGTTGATTGTTTGATGTTAAAATTACCTGGAGGAGCATCCTTAAACTTCTGTTTCATGTATGCCCAACCCCAAATGTTAGAACGAAACCTACAGCTTTGCGTATGGAAAGTGTAAAAAACAGTACAACTTAAATGGATTTCGGACTACAGCAACTAGTTTGGATGGTCAGTGTCTTAAAACTGGACCTTTAGGATGATGACCATCCATATCACATTCTTTACAATACATGAGTCAAATTTTTGGAGGAAAAAGTGTGTACCAGAAAGAATGTACCTACTTTTTGACATATCTGCAGATTATATGGATCAAAAAGGAGCTGAATAAGATCCAGAAGGAAAACAAAAGTATTTCTATAAGATATGACTTTTTACTTTTAGCTTGTAGACTTTATTACAGTATGAATAATATCTAAGGATCAATTCAGTCTAGACTTGAAGACTTATAGACTATAGTTGTTAAAGCCTAATTAATTAATATCAAAGGTAAGTTGGACTGTGTCATGTGTCTCAGGATGGGAACGGTCTGTTTGAGAAGCAGGGACATTTAGTTGGTGATGGTCTTCTGTTAGTATACTAATCATATTTTCATAGTTCCCAAATGAGACAACAGGAGAAGGTGACCTATATAGCATCATGTATATGCTATTCATGCATGGTAAAAATATTGTTTTTCCTGGGAACTATTCCTTTTAATGCACTTTAATGCATGCAATGTAATGTGCGTATGGAAACATACAAATGTGACTGTCTAATATTACAATAATGGAGTATCGTCAGGTGTTCGGAGCAAAATTTAGCCTCAAACTGGCGGTTATTTACCAAAAACAGCAACAATTGACTCATTATTGTGTTGAGAATTTATGTTGTTATGCTGACCATCTTGCAGCACTTTGGAAACCTCCATTTGTAAAATGTGCTATATAAATAAAGTGGATTGGATGTTTTAAAAAATAAAAAATATTAATTTCATATAAGTTTGATTTTAGCATACGCAGCTGATCCCACTGACATTCTCATATTCACTGTTTAACACATGGATGAATGTTATCCAGTTTCACATCCTGAGAAGTCACAGAGAAACACAGAAAGTATGAATGAATGAATCACCGAGACTCATCTTCCACTGAAGTACCAACAATCTTGCAGCAGGCCTTTTCAAGTCCAGCTTCCTGAAATGAGGAGCAGAATACGAGAAGAGAAAGTGCACTCAGAGTTCAGGTTCTGTGGTTTTGATGTGGTGATGGGAAATGTTGATTTATTTTCTTCCCCTTTTTTCCCCGGAACTAATGGACTCGTATGATTCAGTTCTCATTATGATGACGTACACCGAAAGAACAGTTGTGAACGTACTGATGGGACAGATTTATATGAGCTATTCATAAAGAACAAGATCTGGGAAAGCACTAAAAACATATACACATATGGCTCATATGTGTCAATGTTATGTAGGAGAGGAAAATCAGCCAAGGTGACTTCAGTCTTTATAGACAGTATCCTTCCATTTTATGTTTTTTTCATCAATTTTAGAAAAGATTATAATGACATATAAGATTTAATAAATAAGATAACTGTAAAGTTTTCTGTAGCTGAAACAAACGGTGACAATGCTCATGTTTGGCCACCAGAGGTCGACAGAGGACAAGTTTTGGATCACTTTCCTAATGCCTGACATGAAATTCTGTAATGAGAAATGACAGCAAGTATACTGGATAAAAGAAATGACTCACTGCAAACACATGTACAGATCAGAAGACAGAGTGATTAATTTATTTTGCAATTAGCAAACTATATGTTCTTTAAATAATTTTTCTTTCAGTTATTAGCCTCCTGCTTTGTTAACCATTTTGCATGTTACATGTCAGAGCGAAGAAGAGAGTCGGAGCATTTTAAATACAATGTTTGGGATTCTTCAGGCTATTAATAGAGATAGTGACAGAAGTGACAATAAACCACTGTGACCTACAGCTTGTACTCAGATTTGACCTTTGAACTTATACACACTCAGCCCAGTCACCAGAAATAACGCTGGCATTGTATGTCTCTGCAAACTTTACATTTGTACGTTATTATGCAGTGGAACTTTACATTTCTTTACATTTCAACAGCACTGTGGTTAATGCTTGGTTAGGTTTAGGTTTAGGTACAAAAATCACTTGGTTATGGATAGGAAAAGATCTGGTTTTGGCTTAAAATACCCACCTTTCGTGCCACTATCCCAACTGGAAACACAGCAATGTCCTGGTAGAAAAACAATTACTTTTCGTGACACTATCTTGGCTGGAAACACAGCAAAGTCTTGTTCTACAAACAATCATTTTTAATTACAATATCTCAGCTGGAAACACAAAAACGGGTTGCTTAAAGATAACTGTTTTTGTGGTTTGTTGGTCTCGGACAGTGGTCTGCAGCTTAGCAAGCGTCTCATCTTGGTGACACGCCATTCACTATACCCTCAGCATCCTGACAATATGTTGATATTGTGACACCCAACTTAACTTTCATGTAACTACAGGGAAACTTCAGTAACAAAGCCAACAGTCAGT